CCCCCCCCCCCCTCCCCCCTCCCCTGGCCGGTGCACAGGAGCGCAAGCAGGAGGACCTCCTCGGCGAGGATGAGTATGACGATGTCAGCATGCCGACCGATGACAACATCAATGTGCACAACTTCTCCATTCATATGGGCGGCAAGACGCTGTTCAAGGACTCGAACCTGAACCTGAGCCACGGCCGGCGGTACGGCCTGGTCGGGTACAATGGCACCGGCAAGTCGACGCTGCTGAATCACATTGTGGCGCGGGATGGGCAGTTCCGGGTGCCGCGGCACATCGACATTCACATCGTGCAGCAGGAGGCCCCGGCCAACGATGTGTCGGCCCTGCAGACCGTCATCAACAGTGACGAGATGCGCACGCGCCTGCTGGCCGAGCGTGATCGCCTGCTGGCCATCGACGAGCCGACCATGGAGGAGACCGAGCGCCTGAACAAGGTGTATGAGCGTCTGATCTTCATCGAGGCGGACAGCGCGCTGCCGCGGTACGTGCTGCCTGGTCGGCTGTGGGTGGGGCAGGGGGGGCATCCTTTTTCTGGCACATGCACAAAACAGGCCCCACACTCACCCATGACACACGCACACACGCACACACGCACACACGTTTACGCACACACGCACACACGCACACACGTTTACGCACACACGCACACACGCACACACGTTTACGCACACACGCCCACACGCACGCACACACGCACGCACACACGCACACAGCGCATCCGCCATTCTCAGTGGTCTGCAGTTCGATGAGAACATGAAGCAGATGGCCACGCGGGAGTTCTCCGGTGGCTGGCGCATGCGCATTGCCCTGGCGTGCGCCCTGTTCCGGAAGCCGCGGCTGCTGCTGCTCGATGAGCCGACCAACCATCTGGACTTGCATGCGGTCATCTGGCTGGAGAGCTACCTGCAAAATTGGCGCAACACGCTGGTGGTGGTGTCCCACGACCGGGACTTCCTGACGAGCGTCTGCTCGGACATCCTGCACATCTGGCAGCAGAAGCTCTTCCACTATCGGGGCGACTACAGCAACTTCGAGCGGCAGTTCAACCTGAAGCTGGACCAGGACCGGGATGCGTATGAGAAGCAGCAGAAGCGCATCAAGGCCCTCAAGCGGTCCGGCAAGCTGACCATGGACTTGAGCAAGTCCAAGACCACGGACAGCAAGGCCCGGCGGGCGGAGCGGACCAAGGTCCTGAGCACGCGCAAGGACCGCGGCGGCAGCAAGAAGTCCCACGACGATGGGGATGACAACCAGGAGGAGCAGCTTTTGCAGCCGGTGGACGAGTATTTCGTGCGGCTGGGGTTCACCCCGGCGCCGGAGCTGGCCAACCAGGTGCTGCTGAAGGTGGACGGGGTGTCCTTCGGGTATCCCGGCCGGCGGACGCTCTTCCGCGGGGTGTCCTTCGGCATGGACACCAGCAGTCGCATTGCCATTGTCGGTGCCAATGGCACGGGCAAGTCCACCCTGCTGAAGCTCATCACGCGGGATTTGATCCCGGACGAGGGGGAGGTCCAGCACAACCCCAAGCTCCGGATTGCGGTGTACTCGCAGCACTCGGTGGATCAGTTGGATTTGAACAAGAGCGCGGTGCAGCATCTGATGGACAAGTTCAATGTGCCCTATCAGGATGCTCGCAAGTACCTGGGGACCATTGGCCTGCCGGGGAATGTGCATGAGCACCGCATGCGCACCCTGTCCGGTGGGCAGAAGTCCCGCGTGTGCATGGTGGAGATCCAGCTGACCCAGGCGCACATTCTGCTGCTGGATGAGCCGACCAACCACCTGGACTTGGAGACGGTGGATGCCCTGGTCCGGGCGCTGAACGAATTCGAGGGCGGCGTGGTGGTGGTCACCCACAATGTCAGCCTCATTGAGCAGGTGTGCAATGAGATCTGGGTGTGCAAGGATGACTGCACGGTGTCGGTATGTTGCTTTTGCCTCCTTCCTTCTTTTGCTTCTTCCCTCTTTCTTTCCTTTTTCCGCCCCTCTCCCCTCACGTTGTGGCGGGCGGTCGCGGGCCATGGGACTGACCCCCCCCCCCCCCCCCCCCCCTGGTCGATTGCGTGGTGCGTGTGCAGCCGTACAAGGGCGACTTCCAGGATTATGTGGACGAGCTGCTGGACGAGATGGAGGCCAAGGAGTATCTTGTGCGCCAGCACTAGTCGAGGCGGAGCCTTTCCGGTGGGGGCGGCTGGCCCCTTGGTGTTGGGTTTACGCGTGCCTGTGTGTCTTGCGGCTCTCTTGTGCAAGGACCCGCCTCGGTCTATCCGCCTCTTTCTTTATCCCTTTCTCCCTCCCCTTCCCCCCTCCTGTCCTCCGTGTCCTCCTGCTTCTCTCGGGCGCGAATTGGACGGGCGGGGCGAAGCCGAGGCGAGAGGGACGAAGCACGAGTGTGCCAACAACGAGTCTATTCTATTGTATCTGCTTGTCATGTTGTGTGCTTTTTGCTTGTTTGCTTGTCATGCTGTGTGCTTGTCATGCTGTGTGCTTTCTGCTTGTTTGCTTGTCATGCTGTGTGCTTGTCTGTCTGTCTGCCTGTCTGCTTGTCTACTTGTCTGCTTGTCTGCTTGTCTGCTTGTCT